TTCTTCTGACGTGGGGGTCCGTCCCGTTGCCTTGGCAGCTGACAACAGCTGGGCTGTAAGATACTCTTGCAGGCTCTGGCATCAGGGGATGAACACTCTTGCAGATACTGCTGCATCAACGGGATGGATATTCATCATGATCAACATAACACGGCAGCACATCCAGAGCCCCATCACCCTCCCAGCTCCTCAACCCGCGGCCCCCTCAAGTGCAGCCGCGCCGCGCCCCGAATCTCCCTGAGCCGGTTGCTCTGCGCCACAACGTCCCTGTCAAAGATGAACCACCACCGCTCGAAGAACGTCTGGCCGATCTCCCAGCCGGTGGCGTCGTACGGGTCGCCGCCCCAGATGCGCACGCCCTCGGCCTCGTCCTCGAGGTCGTAGGCGAACTGGATGGGCGCCAGCGCGTCGCGCGCCCCGGGCGGCCGCAGCGCCTCGGGCATGTTGAAGATGCTGATGATGCGGTCGCGCACCGACGGCCACGGCAAAAAGTCGAGCATCGGGTGGTGCGGCAGCTGCCGCTGGGTCGGCGTCGGGCGGAAGTTGGGCGGCAGCAGCGCCGCTGGCGTGCCGCCGCCCTTGTTGAAGGGCGAGTTGGACGTCGGCGACCAGAGTTCCGTGGCGCAGCCGAGGCGGTCCGCTATGCTGAGGAAGGCGCGGAGGAGCGTCAGGTCGGCCATGGGGAGCAGGTAGCGGTCGGTGAAGTCGTCGACGGGGACCGGCGGCGCAAAGGGCTCGCCGGGTGACGGTGCAGCCGGGGTGCCGAGATGGGAGCGGTTGATGGAGGACATGGCGGTGCTGTTGGCTATCAAGTTGGAGGAGAGGCTCGACGAGGAGCCGGGCGGGGAGGAAGACGAAGGGGTGGAGAGGGAGTCCCACATGATCGTCTCAAAAGACGCGCATGGGAATGTCTCGGCGAGCGTCGAAACGGAGGTAGGCTCGAGAGATACCGCGTTCCATGGCATGTCCAGGCCAAGATCCAGGCCAGACGTCAGCAGAAGGTCGTTGGGTGAAACACTGGTCCGAGGCGCATCCGGAGGGGACACTGATGAAAGGGATCCATCTGGATGGGACGAAGAGGCTGGTGGCTGGATACCATCGACAGCGGAAAGGTCATCTTGCTGCTTCGTGTCCTTGCTTTTGGTCCTTGCCTCTCGTTTTCGTTCGCCTGAAATTTCGTGTAAGTCACAGGTCAGTCACCCTTGGGATAGGGCCTCTCCCCAAACAAGCATGGCCGGGTCGGCATGGCAAACTCACGGTATCGCCGCTGTGCCAGCACATTGAGCACCCTCTTTCTCTCGGCCGCATCCTCGTCAATATCAGGCACGTCGAGCACGGGTGGCGCTTTCTGCACCCTCTGCCGCGTCTTGGGGCGGTTGTACGTCGCATTGCTGCTCTGAGCTACACTATCCACACCCGTCGACCCCATGGTACGTCCAGATACCCGGAGATGCTGCCCGTGTTCTTCGCTGCGCTTTGTCTTGGCAACAGTTTCAGGTGTGTGATTGGGTATCGCGGGTTATGCTGCCATGCGAGTATAACAGCCAAGCATGTTGAGAGTTGAGGCATCAGAGAAGAGGCCGCGCCTTATTTAAAGGCCGTCGCCCTCGCCCCGGGCCATAGCGAGATGGAGGGTCCGGCGCCCGGTGCCTGGTGCTGTCAGCTCAGGGTGGGGCGTCGGAAGTGTGGCACAGCATGTCGCCTTAACATAACGGATAACGAGTGACCTTCTTGCAGGCAACATTTCCTCTAACTTTCAGGTATCTTCTTAACATTTGTTCGAAGCCTATCGCTCTCTTCATCGCGTTGCGGCTCCTCCTTCGTACTGCATTCACTCCAACATTTCTTCTCAGCTGGAGGGCTACTTTCGTCTCAAGTTGAGCGGCTAGCCTTATCTCTGGTCGTCGTCGCTCATGGGTTAGGGGGGCTGTCACTGGTGTAGAAATCACCAGTCCACCTGAGGTACCTCCCTTACCTTACTAGATAGTCATCTAGAAGACGCGAACGGTATGCGGCGTAGACCAATGCTACGCCACGCCAAGTGCCGACTCTTTTTCGCGAAACCAAGTCTGATGATAGCACAAACGCAAATATCAACCAAACTCAAATCATGTGGTATTGCCAGTCTTAGGCTCGTCGGATATCATGTGAACAAGCCCTGATTTAGGATCGAGTGAAATATGAAAACCCAAACTCCAAAGCGATTTCTCCTGAGAAAACACACCCAACACCACGCAATGTCACCTCACACCAGAGACGCTCCCCCTCCGATCTCCCCGCCGTACTCCATCTCCATCTCAGCAAGCATGCCTTCGACTTCGGCGTCCGTGAAAGCCTGCCTCTGCTGCTCACCCTCCCCCGCAATCTCAGCGACGACCCAGGCCTTGAACTTGCCCAGCAGTGTCTCGTCGTCTGCCGCCGTCCTCACGGCTCCCATGACCTCGCGCGCCTTGGCCCTGAGAGCCTCATCCCGTGGAAAGTCTCGCCCGGCCGCCGCTTCTGAGTGCACGAACCCAACTAGAGAGTCCTCTAGTTCGCGCGCGCAGAAAATGGTACCAGGCCGCGCGTGACGCGTGTCAAAGGTCGCAAAAAAGGCGTCCGCCACAGCTTGGTCGCGAGTGCCTTGGCCGGTCGATGACGGGCTCGTCCCAGCGAGGGTCGTGCCCGTGCTGAAGGGTGTCGAGAAATCAATCTTGGGGTTGAAGGGGCAGCTCGATGCCGCGGCCTCGGCCATTGTGCGGCTAGGGACCACGTCTTGGTTCGGTTCAAGGGGCGAGGCCGCCGCCAGCAGGCCGGCATCACGCTTGAAGCGCTGAAGCCACTCGGCGTTGTCCGCGGGCGTCTGGTTCCACGGGTCGTCGCTGACAACAGGTCAGTACACTGGGCGGACTGTCAAGGATCGGGTATGCGGGAGGCGTGTTACTCACTCATCGTACATGATCCACCGCGCCTGGTGCTGTAGCTCCTGATCTGAGGGCACGTGCTGGTTCGGATTGTTCGGCGACGTTGTTTGTGTGACGAATCGCCTCAGCTCACGCGCCAGCCTTCGGAATCGATTCGAGTCGTTCATGCAAGTCGCTCCGCCCATGTGCTTCGATCGCGGCGGCGAGGACGCAAGCTGCTGCTGTAGGCCGAGCACAGTCTGTGCGGGCTCGCTGGCATTGGGCACCAGAGAATCCTGCGTCTGAGAGAAGCTGCCTCCGGGCGGATGGCGCTCGCGGAAGGCATTGAGCCAGACGAGGCTATCGGCGGCCGTCTGGTTCCAGCCGTCGTCGAAGTCGTATATGATGATGCGAGCCCGGCGCTGCAGGTCTTCATCGGTCGGCTCGATGCCCAACACCCGCTGGTCCTCCATGTACTCGCTTAGAGACGTCTCCAAGCGGCTGTAGATGTGGATTGTGGAATCGATCTTGGTCATGTCCGTGGACCGGAAGTAGGCATTCTTGATGTCCTCCGTCCGCGGCAGGTGGGCTCGCTGCCGGAAGTTGGCGAGCCAACCTGTCGATGAGTTGATGAACCGAACAAGCCAGTTGGCGATGAAATCCGACGGCGTGGTTGATGCCTCCTCGATGCGTCCGACGATGCAGCACGCCTCGACCTGTAGCTCGTCGTCGATGGGGGTTAATCCGAGTAACGTCCTGTTCGAAACAAAGTCCCTGAGCTGCTTCTCAAGAGGACAGGCCTCGAACAAGTTGTCCTTGCCGTTAATCTTTAAGATTGAAAGCCTGTTCTCAATTGCCGAACGGAGAGGTCCAAACTGCGCCTGGCGTGCGACCTCTGGAGACGACATGAAGAGGTCCCTGAGCCAGGAGAAGTTCGAGTCGATGCCCTGTAGCGATAACACTTCGCTGGCGAAAATGATTCTGCATGCTTCGAGCAACATCTCGTCGTCGTTGGGCAGGGCCCCCGTCTTGTCCTCGTGATTCATCATGAAGAAAGCGAGCTCCATCTTGATGAGTTCGTAGGCACTCCTTGGTGACTCGGGCGGCGAGCCACCCGCTACGTAGGGAAATGGCGTGTTCCGTTCATGGTCAATAAGATCTGTTGCACAAGAAAAAAAAAAGTTTCAAAAGTTAGACGCTGCAAGCTGGTCTACGGGATATCGAAGGGGTCTCATACAAGGCGGGATCGAGTTCTCGACCATGTCGAGGACGGGTGCGTCAAAACCCCAATCACCCTTCCAGTCAGCCATGGTGTTACCCGTTTTGAAGTGCTCGGCGAGATGGTCTACACGAATGGACCAGTTATCCATTATGATGCCACAGAAACCGCACCGTGACCTGATCTCCGGCGTCGCCACCTTCCACGTCTTCATGCACCAGTCCATGAACTTGACGTTGTGTACGAGTCTCAAGTGTTGGTTGAGGTGGTCCTTCCGGTAAAAGGTGCGCTCTTCAATTGATCGCTCCTGGCACGTCGTGTGGTTGTGGCTCTCAATGTGCTCGTTATCCGGGTCGACCTCGCCACAGTAGACGCAGCTGACCTGGTTGGTTGCCGGATTGAGGGCGCGTGGTCCCTTGGGTGCGCATACCCATCGCTCGAGAGACAGGTGTAGCGACTTTTCATGCCTTTGCCAGTCGTGCTTTGTCCGGAACGTCTCGGTACAGAATGTACACTGGAAAGTCTTGAACGGCGCCGCCAGATTCGTCTTGTCGTCAGGACCACGCTGAGGGGCGGCGCGCCTCCTACGGCGTCGACGACCGCGGATCTGCATGGAGCTGAAGGAGCCGAAGGAGCCTCGGGAGGCATGCGAATAAGCAGAGGCAAAAGATCCGCCGCTGGAAGTGCCAACACTGCTCGTCGAGGAATAGTCGACAAGAGAACGGCCCGAGCCGTCGTCAGTGAAGGCAAAGCTGTGAGGGCTGTTCAAGCCCGAAGACATTTCCGAATTGGACGCCACGGCCCTGGCAATGGCTGTCACGGAGGCCGGTTCGTTATCAGGCGGGGAGTCGACCCAACGTTCGAGGGGGTTCTTGTTGGCGATGCTCTTGTCGAAGGCCGGTGTGCCGGGCCGCCGGGGGATATCGACAGCTCCGGCATACAGGGTGTGCGTGGCCGGGGATGTTGACCTCGGTGGTTGGATCTTGCCGCGGCGACGGGCATTGGCGAGCCAGTTTGTGATCTGCGTCTTGTTGAGCCCGGTCTGACGCTGAAGCATCTCCTTCTCTTCGTCGCTGGGGTACGGATGACGGTTGTGACCAGAAAGCCACGTCTTCAGAATTTTGACCGATTCTCGCGAGAAACGAGCACCAATCTTAGGGGGAGGACTGTTCTTGTTTGGCACAGCAGCACCCGCAGCGGCGGCGGCCGCCGTGTTCTCCTGAACAGGCGGCACAGTGGAAGGAGGCGCCATCTCCAGAGGCGCGGAGGACAGTGAGGCCTTCAGCAGACCCTGAGAGGAAGGGATGTCTCTGTCATTGGTGACCACGGGGTCCTCGGAGAGATCGTTGGACCAGTTGTTCGCCGGCACTGACGGTGCGAAGCTGCAAGGGCACCAGAGAGCAACGCAGGAGGTGCAGAAGCCCTTGTACTCACCCTCGCGGATCCTCTTGCACTCGAGGCCGCTGCGGGAGCATGACGTGCATGGCACGGCAGGTTTGTACCAAAAGAAGTCTGGCAAGGGGTTAGGGAGCTGATAAGGCTCGGGGGCGGGACCTGCGGAGAAGTCCATCGGGAAGGCGGAGGCGGAGGCGGAGGCGGCGGGAGCAGACCCCAGAGGTGCGTCTTGGCCTTCCTGGCCCGCCTCGGAAAAGTGTTGGAGGGCCCAGAAGCTGAAGTCATCATCGTCGACATTGGCCAACATGAGATCAATGTCTTGGTCAGCGATGTTGTTGGGGATGTGCTCTAAGGGGGAAGGAGGCAGAGGGCCGGTGTGGTCGAGCAGCATGCCGACGTTGTCACCAGCCTTGTCCCAGTCGACGAATTCGTCCATGTCGATTTGTACTCTGCTGCTTGTACTCCTCGTGTACTTGGAAGGGCGGATGTCAAATCTGCCTAGGTTGACAGGAAAGGCGCGCGTCCACGAAGGGTGACTAAAACCAAAGGACGAGGTGCGCCAGGGACCATGCAGGGTCGGGATGTCGTTGTGGTCTGGGTCAAGGGCGTCGTCAGATGTCAATGCTGACAACCTCGATGACCGATGAGGATGCGTGAAGCATGCGTGGGACAAGCGAGGAGGAGCAGAAGGAGAAGGAGAAGGAGAAGCAGAAGGATGGTGATGGTGATGGTGATGAGAGAAGAAAAGGGAGGTGCGGGAATCGAGATGGGGAAGGAAAGAGTCACACAGTCCTCGCAGTTGCTTTATTCAAACGAGCAACACCCCCTCGTTCACTCTGCTCAGACAGATGAGAGGATGAGATAGTACGGACCAGAAAGCGGCCAGCGTTCGCTCCGGTTCCCGGTGGTTCGGAGCCATTCCCTTCGAGACCAAGGGCAGCCCAAAAGCAAAAGCTGCTGTAGCGGAAGGACTAGTGCGTCTGCTCGCCAGCCGGACCTGCACGTCGCATGGAGCGCAATTGACATGCGCGCGCCCTTCATGTCAAAAAATTATGGGGCCATGTCGAAATCGAAAGAGGCGCCCCTCCCTTCTCCCTTCTCCCGCCGTCCCATGTGACGGTGCATCTCTGGTGCGTCAGCGAACTGTGCCGAGTCCCTGGGGGCTTCCCTTCTGCTTCCAGGTGTGTCCAGGTGTGTCGCGTGTGGCCGAAGGGTCGGTGTGAGACAGTATAGCTGACTAGCGGCGCGTACGGTATATAGAACCCCGTCCCAATAGGCGGCTTGCTCACTCAACTGACGTCCCAAATGCGCGTGACGTCCCCTCATTGTGCTTACGGAGGAGAGAGCATGGCTTTGCTGTGCTGTCTGCTGTGCTTTCTCTGGTGATATGGCGAATCCGCCTCGCACATCTCATGGTCCAGACTCTCGTCGAGAGAGAGAAAGCCGTCTCCGTTCTCTGTCATGCGGCAAAACACAGGACCCCGGGCTGACGGTGACTTGCGCTGTGAAGCCACGGCCGCCAAAATCATGCAGGTGCCGACGTGTCATCATTCACAGCTGCACTTGCCATCCGTCGTGATTGATCGGGACACAGGTGCCTGGCCTCGGCTCTCCTCATGCTTGCCAGATAGCAGACGGAAATGCTCAATTGCGCTCTACTCGCCCCTTGCGCCGATGCTGAGCGTCTCAAGGCGGCCATTTGCGGTTCATTCGGAGGCTATTCGCTCGAGGCAGCCGAAGTCGGAACGTTTACATGTTTCGGGTGGACTCTTCTGCTGACCCTATCCTCCCAAGTCTTACATCAACCTTGTGGTAACAAGGTCCGCCAAGGCCGCGCTGCCGGCCCCCCCAAAAGAATATATACGGGGATCGCCAAGCCGGAAACCCCCCAGCAAATCAAATGTAGAAGAGAAGACCGCTCCGAACAAGTCGTAACGAACACCAAATATGAAAGAGACGAGACCCTGGATTCCAGCCGCGCCAGTACGCCAACCTCTGGTGCCCGGCCCCCCCGGCCATGCCCAGCGAACCTCAGTGTCCCAGTACCGGCAACCCGGTCTCGAAATTATGGAAGCAGCTGCGTGTCGGTGGGCGCTGCCCTGTACCTTGCATCAGCCTTTTCAAACAGCTCAAGAGGCTGATAGAATAGCCGCATGTGTTTCGCCTGGTCCAGGCTTCACTGGCTCGAGGGCCGACCTCCTCTGCTGACCCGACTTGAGATAACAGTTGCCTTCGGCGTTTGCGTTGATGGCCTCCTCCTTGGACGTCCAAGCGGGAATGAAGCTGACAGCTGTGCACGTCGCGTTGACACTGTCAGAATCGGACTCGAAGGTCCCCTTGATGTATTTGGTGTACGAAGCACAAGCGTCCATGCATCGGTCAAAGTCAGGCACAGCGAGCGCCAGAAGGGGAGCATAAGGCGGCGCATTGGAGTTGCAGAACATGGTGAAGGTCACCTTGTCAGAGACTGTTCCACGAGCGTCAGCACTTTTGTCGCCAGGTTCATTTTGAGGAGGACAGGAGCCATACAGTGAGTTGTGTAATCTGTTCCTGACGTCGCGTCTTTTTCGTCCGAGCAGCCGTGGGTAATGGCAGAGAAGCTCGTCTCCGTCGGCACAGCTTCAGACACGGTCACGGTCGTCGTTGCCGGCCCTGCGGCAGCTGCTTCGGCAGACAGCGCGTTCAACTTCTCCTTCGCATCGTTGGCACGGTTCGTCTGGACACCTGTCCCTACGGCAAGTCCAATGACGGCAGCGGACAAGGCGGCAATGATGATGGACAAGATGAGGACGAGGATGGTGCAGCCGCAAAAGGTCCTTTTCGCTTTCGGACTCGTCACTTGTGAGTGGTTATCGCCAACGGGCGATGATGTGTATCCGGGATGAAGTGTTGCCGGCTCGGGTTG